GCATCGTGGTCTTCATGACAGAAGACATGCCTTTCTTTTTGCCTTAGAGAAGGTAGAGGGCCAGAATGAACCACCTCCGGTGCTCGATTAGTAGGTAAATCATTTCAAGCAAACAGCTTCACGGGTCTCTGAACTGTGTTTGGCCCTTATAAGATAGTAAGAGTCGGTGATATTGGAATTAGAGAGACTTGTGATGAAATCGCAATTCCATCCTCTGTAAGCGTGGCCCTGGGCAAGTTTTTCATCCGTAATTAGAGATAGAAATATTGTACTCTGAGAAGCAGTATATTGTGATTATCAAGACCCTGATCTCTAGAATCAGATTATGTGAACTAAAAGCCCACCCTACAAAACTATAATCTCAGCAAGTTTACTTACCTTTTGATTCTTTATGTGCCAGATGAGAGAATAAGAACGTATTTGCTTAGGGTTGCTAAAGAATTAAGTGATAAATTATTTGAATGTGATTCCTAAAGTTCATGTGTTGGAAACTTAAACCCTAATGTAATAGTGTTGAGAGGCAGGACCTTTAAATGATGATGAGGCCACTGCCAAACTGCAGGGATTAATGTCACTATCACAGGAGTGGGCTCATTATCAGGAAAGTGAGTTTGTTATAAAAGTGAGTTCAGCACACTTTTGCTCAGTTTCTCTCTCTCTTTCTTTCTCTCTCGCACTTTCTCCTTCCACCATGGGATGAAATAAAACCCTCACCAGATGCCAGCGCTAATTAACATTTATACTTCTTAAAACCTCAGGTTAGAAGTTACTTTCTCAAGAATACCATCCCCAATCCTCAAATTCAGTCCAACTTTCCCTTTTACATATTCTCTAGATTTTGTGGACACTACTGTCATTTCTGTGTTCACATTTCTGTGCTCACTGAAGTGCTTGGCATATGTTGTGCACATAAAATTTTTTGAAAGCAGAAAAAATACTTAACTCTGTGGATTCCATCATTTAATGGCAAGACCCTGAATATATAAAGGGATAATGGTGAGACTTTACGTGGTGAACGCTGACCCATGCCAGTGGCAGCATACCTCCGGAATAGTCAGAACTTGTTTGGTTAATGATTGTCAGCTTCCACCTTCTAGCGACCGTGCCTCCAGCCTCCACGTCAACCTCCAATCAGGGCATTCCTAACTCCTTCCCTTTCCCTCATAATAAAGCTTTTCTACTTCCTGTCTGCCTCTGAGACTGCATCAAATCCCAAGTTATGACAGCTGCTAACTCCCTCACTATAGTAAGCACTGAATAAATTGCCTTTGCTTGGTCTCCTTTGCATCATCTTCATTTAATTTTACAGTGGAAAATTACCTTTTGAGCACAGGCTCTTTCTTTTTGAATTATAACTGTGTAACTTAAAATATATTATTTTTGTTTTACGTGAAGTAAACATGATACAGGAAATACCAGTGATGGAATATGAAATACTATATTTCCCTACCTGTTAGATGTCTGATACACCAAGCTTGTGTTCTCCAAAAATCAAAGAATGAATTCTAGGAACAACAGAAGTTAAGAGTAGGAAGATATCTATTGATAGCATAGCTCCTGAGAGGTAGGAGGGCCCCCCAAACGGATAGCTGAGGACTCCTCCACTTTACAGCTGAGTTTTATGGAATAAAACCCACATGGGTACAATGTGGGTGACAGCTATGATCAACCAATAAGGTTACAAGTGCAGTCACTTAGGTAATGGTGGTCCAGTTGGGAAACAAGTCATGTAACAAGCATGGATGGAAATAACAAAGACTTCTAGGAAATGGTGGGTTTAGAGGTCCTGGTCACTCACTGAGGTGACTGATGTCTACCTAGACTTTGTTAGGCACCATGTTTGTCCTTTGAGATAGTATGCAGGTTTGGTCATCTTAACTTACGTTGAAGCTTCATCTCCAAAAGATGTGTCTCTGGCCACAGTTGTGATGTGTTTCACCTGTGTCCTGGCCCTCTTGAGGACCTAGACCTATATGACCGCCTATAATATTTCTACTCAACTCAGATGTCTATAATACTGATATCACTTAAAAAGTTGTTATGTCATTTGTCTACTTTCTAAAACATGAAATTACTTGAGAAACAAAAGATATGCATTAAAATAAACGAAGAATTCATACTAAATAAATTTACTTTATATCAAGGCAATGAAATAAAGAGGTATAAAACATGATGACAAGAAGTATAAAATGTAAATAAAACATCATATTTGAATATTTTGTCATTATCACTAAGGGAAAATCTATATTATGAAATTTTATTCAGAACAGATTTTTAGTTTGAGAACTAAACAGTGAGCTAACTGTAGAGCTGATCTATTTGTTAAGTATCTTTCCACAGAAGTTCACACATAATCATGATTTCTTGTGTTCTAAAATATCACATATTTAACCCAACACAATATGAAAATTATGATGATGATTAACATTCTGGCTGTGCTTTTAACGTTTTTAATAATTTAAAAATAATACAACCACTGATGTATTTTATTTTATTTTATTTCATTTTTGAGACAGGGTTTTACTTTATACTCCATGCCAGCCTTGAACTGACTCTGTAGTCTGGATTGGCTTTAAGCTACATATCCTCCTGCCTCCATCTCCTGATTTCTAGCGCTCAAGGTGTACACCACACCTAGCTCTACTAATGGTATTTATCTCACTTTGCACATTCTTAACAGGAATCAGAGGGTCTAGTTTGGACAAGCAAGTACTAAAAATATTTTCTGAAGTGTAAAGTTATATATATTTCCTTTTTTTCTTTTTTTGGTACTGGGGATTGTACTCAGGACCTTGCATTTGTGAGGCAGGTGGCAGAAAATGTATTTCTTTTTCTGTGAGTTGGGAAATAGAACCTAAATGTAAGGTTAACAATATTGAAATAATTATACCATACACGATAAAAATGTTTTGCTTAATAAAAAGTATAAGCTGGGTATGGTGACATATACCTGTAACCCCAGCACTAATGAGGCTGAAGCAGGAGGATAGAAGCAAGTTCAAGGCTAACCTGGGCTACATGGTGAGTTCAAGTCTAGCCTGAACTATGTAGCAAGACCTTGTCTCAAAAAACAACAAACAAAAAGTGCATTACTTTTCAAAATACAGCTGTAAATTTTTGTTCACTGCTAAATTAAAATAAGTTCTATACTAGAGTGTAATGAAGTAGTCATTACGTTTACCAAGTATTAAATGTCTGTGTTTTGTTTATAGCTAGATGTTCCCTCAAAGCCTCAGGTGCTCAGAGGGTGGGCTTGTGGCAGATGGGAATTACAGGGGCACCACAACTGTCTTTGATGTGAGCAGTCCTGGTCAGAAGAGGCGGTCACTGGGGTTGTGGCCTGGGAATGTGTCTCTCCCTTCCTGGATTCTTGCTTCTGCTTTCCCAGCTTCTAGGTTGCTGTGACATGAGCAGTTTTCCTCCACTACGCCCCTCTACTATGCCTTCTTGCCTTGGAGCTGGCCAATAATGAACAAAAACCCTGAGCCAAAATACACTTCTCCTTTAAGGAGTGGGTGTCAGGTATTGTGTCCCAGTGGCGAAAAAATGACTAAGTGTGCAACACTGTGTGCCTAGTTTTAGAACCTGGGAATCTGATAATAAACGAAATAGCTGAAGCTGCTGCCTGTATGCATCTTACAGTCCCTCTCACTCGTGTTTTTCCTATCTCTATCTCTGTCTCTCTAATGCTGAGGAACCCAGGTTTTCACACTGAGATACATCCCAGCCTTTTATTCTTTCTTATTTTGGACCCAGGGTCTTCCTGAGTTGATAAATTGGTCAAGCTGGGCTCAAACTTGCAATCCTCCTTTCTCAGATTCCCAGAGTGCTGGGATCACAGATGTGTGCCATCATGCCTGGCTTGGCATTGAGGAAGACTGATAATAAATATAAATACCTATGTGCATACAATGTCAAGAGGAGGTAAATACTCTGAGAAAATATAAAGCTGTAGGGATAAAAAGTGTTACTACATATAATATCAGAGAAGGGCTCTTTGATAAGCTGTCTTATTATATAAAAAGTAACTAGAAAAGAGTTTGATTAGGTATCTTCCTGAATTGCTCTCATTCAGCCCATATTTGCACTGTAGAAATCATTAAATTTTAAGTGAACTAGGAGTATGAATGAAGATTGTAGCAGTGTGTATATGTTTCTGGAGACTGAAATTTACATGGAGCTATATACTTAGCCTTTTAAAAATTTTAAAAATTTTCAAATAGGGTCTGTATATAAGTATATATACACCTATCTACAAATTCAGATGGTGATGAATGCCCTGAAGAAGAAAGCAAGATAAAAGTGTTGCTATTTTATAGAAGTTGATCAGGAAAGGCTTCTGAGATTAAAAGGGAGCTGTATTAAATTAAGGGAATTTGATTAGAGGCACTCTTGATGCATTATTCCCTCACACCTCTGCATCAATCATTACATCACAAAGAGAGATTCAGTGGAATGAGAATGTCACCATAACTTGTTTTGAAATGCCATTGACATTTCTCATTCTTCAATGTCAGACAAATAATGTTTCTCAATTATGAATAAAAATTTATTCTCAGTTTGTGCCTTTGTTAGATTTTCTGCAACATATTTCACTCTTTTATGTCAAAAAATAGCCAAGCATGATGGCATATGCCTGTAATCCCAGCACTTGAGAGACTTAGGCAGGAGGATCACCATGAATTTGAGGCCAGCCTGGGCTACAAGGTGAGTGCAAGGGAGGCCTAAACTAATGAACAGAGAACATGTCTCAAAAGGGGAGAAAATTAAAACTGTCCATCTTTTGCTACAGTTTAGATCTAGACTATCCCCAAAGTCCCGTACGTCTAAAGAGTAGTCCCCCAGCTTGCAATTGCTGGGGGGAACCTTTAAGAATTGGGGCCTAGTACAATAAGATGGAAAACAGAAGAAACAGATTCCTAGGTACATATGAATTACCAAAGTTGAATGAGGAAGATGTTAAAATTCTGAACAACCCAATATTAATCAATGAAATTGAAAATATAATTAATAACTTACCAAATAAGAAAAGCTTGGGTCCAAATGGCTTCACTGCTGGATTCCATAAGATGTTTAGGTAAGAGCTAATGTCACTACTTCTCAAACTCTTTAACTGAAAGGGAAGCAATACTCCCAAAGTCATTCCTGGAAGCAAACATACTGGCAAACAGCAAGATACTGGCAAACAGAATTCAAAATATCATCAAAAGGATCATATACCCTGACCAAATAAATGGGTCAATTCTTAGGGATGCAGGGATGGTTCAACATACGCAAATCAATAATTGTGATACACTTGTGATTTGTACTACAAATCAATACATGTAGCATTAATAGAGCCAAGGGCTGGGGATTTAGCTCAGTGGTTCCACTACCTGCCTTGCAAGCATAAGGTCCTGAGTTCAATCCCCAATACCAAAAAAAAAAAAAAAAAGAGCCAAGGACAAAAACATATGATCATCTCAATAGATGCAGAAAAAGTGTTTGACAAAATCCAACACCCATTCATGATAAAACCCTGCAGAAAATTGGAATACATGGTCTCTATATCAACCTGATAAAAGCTATCTATGAAAAACTAAGAGCCAATATCATACATGCTACGTGATCAAAAACTAAAATCCTTCATATTAAAATCAGGAACAAGACAAGGATGTCCACTATCAATACTCCTATTCAATATAGTTTTGGAAACAGCCACAGCAATTAGATAAAAGAAACAAATAAAAGGAATAAAGATAGGAAACAAAGAAGTTAAATTGTTATTTTTTGCAGATGACATGATATTCTATACTGAAGACCCCAAGAACCCCACCAAAAGTCTTCTAGACTTTATAACCAAATTCAGTAGAGTAGCTGGATACAAGGCCAACACACAAAAATCAATAGTTTTCCTGTATAAGGACAATAGACACAATGAAAGAGGAACTGTAGAAAAAACTCCCTTCATAATAGCATCCAAAAAATGAAATATGTAGGAATCAACCTATCAAAAGAAATCAAAGACCTCTATCCTGAAAACTATAGCACTCTGAAAAAAGAAATTGAAGAGGATATCAGAAAATGAAAAGACATCCTGCCTTGCTCCTGGGTAGGAAGAACCAATATAGTGAAAATGACCACACTTCCAAAATTGCTATATAGATTCAATGCAATTCCAATTGAAATTTCAACAGTATACTTCACAGACCTTGAAAAACAATCCAAAAATTCATTCAGAACAAGAGAAGACCTAGAATAGCAAAAGAAATTCTAGGCAACCATGACAAAAGAGGAACTGTAGAAAAAACTCCCTTCATAATAGCAACCAAAAAATGAAATATGTAGGAATCAACCTATCAAAAGAAATCAAAGACCTCTATTCTGAAAACTATAGCACTCTGAAAAAATAAATTGAAGAAGATATCAGAAAATGAAAAGACATCCTGCCCTGCTCCTGGGTAGGAAGAACCAATATAGTGAAAATGACCACAATTCCAAAATTGCTATATAGATTCAATGCAATTCCAATTGAAATTTCAACAGTATACTTCACAGACCTTGAAAAACAATCCAAAAATTTATTCAGAACAAGAGGAGACCTAGAATAGCAAAAGAAATTCTAGGCAACCATGACAAGGTAGAGGTATCACAATCTGAAACATGAAACTACACTACAAAGCTACTGTGATAAAAACAGCATGGTACCTGCAAAGAAACAGATCTAAGGATCTATTGAATAGATTAGAAGATGCAGAAACAATGCCAAACATACTCAGCCAACTCATCTTCAACAAAGGAGCCAAATACCCTTGCTGGAGGAAAGATATCCTCTTTAGTAAATCATGCTGGAAAAACTGGGCTTCAACTTGCCTAAGATTAAAACTAGACCTATAATCGCTCACCATACACTAAACTAAAATAAAAATGGATTAAAGATTTAAATATTAAAACAGAAACACTAAACCGAATGGAAGAAGGTTAAATAGAACTCTTAAAGACATAGGCGTAGGAAAATAGCTCATGAACAAGACCTCAGTTGCACATGAGCTAGCACAAAGAATCAACAAGTGGGATCTCTTCTTATTAAAAAGTTTCTGCACAGCAATAGAAACCACCAACTGTGTGAGGAGACAACACACAATATGGGAAAAAAATTTACGAGCTGTTTCTCAAAGGTCTATTACTTCGAATATATAAAGAACTTAAATAAATCAGACCTCCCAAATTTAAAGACCCAATCCAAAAATGGGCATCTGAAAAATAGACATTTGTTAGACAAAGAAGTAGAAATAGTAAATAAACATATGAAGAAATGTTCAACATCACAGGTCACTCGAGAGAGAACAACTCTCAGATTCCACCTCACCCCAGAAAGAATGGCTGCTATCATGAAATCAACCAATAAAATATTGGTGGGGCTCTGCAGAAAAAGGAACCCTGCTCCACTGCTGGTGGGAGTGCAGACTGGTGCAACGACTGTGGAAATCAGTGTTGAGATACCTCAGAGAACTAGGATTGGAGGTCCCTTCTGATGGATGTATTCCCCTGCTGGGTATCTTCTCAAAAGAATTAAAATAATCATACCACAGCAATATATGTGCACCCATTTTATAATGGCATTTTGTACTAGCTAAAACTTGGAAACACCCCAATTGCCCATCACCTGGAGACTGGATAAAGAAAATGTGTGGTTTTTTTAATAAAATGGAATACTACTTAGTCATAAAGAATGAGAAATCAGAGACATTTATAGCTAAATGGATGCACATTGAGGCAATACATTTATATGAAATAAATAGGACAGACATGTGTAAATAGCAAATAGTTACTTTGGTGTGAGAAAGTGAAAGTGTAAGTAAGGATCAAAAGGCATAATAGATAATTTGAAACAGGAAGAAAAGGGGACAAGGGAAGGGGAAGTGGGAGGGGTAGGGAAAAGGAAAGAAGGGAATAAAATTAATATGAGAAAAGGAAAAAAATGGAAACAAAGTCTTTATAAATAGGGAAGAGTGGAGGGGTTAAAGGGAGGGCAGGGGAATGGGGAAAAAAGAAGAACCAAGATAGGTGATGTAGAGGTACTATTTCCAATGATAAACGTCACCATACTGTATACCTAAAATGTTTCAATAAAAATAATAAAAAAAATAATTGGGTCTAGTAGAGGTCATTTAGGTCACTGGCATGCGTCCTTGAAGGGGATTGTGGGAACCTGACTTCTTTCTCCTTTACTCTCTCCTATCCTATGGGGAAATAGGAAACAGTTTTGCCCTCACTGTTGTCACGGTGTATTGCCTTGCCACAGGCCCAAGATCAGCAGGACTAATGAACTGTGGAGAGAGACCTCAAAACCTCTGCGCCAAAATAAAGCTTTTTTTTGGATGCGGGGGTGTCAAGACAGTGTCCCACTGTGTAGTTCTGGCTGGCCTTGAACTCACTGTGTATCCCAGATGCCCTGAACTCACAGTGGTCCTCCTGCCTCCACATTTTTTTTGTATAAACTGATTACCTCAGGTGTTTATTATAGTAATAGAAAACTAACACAATTATCAAGTACAGTTTTGGTGTCAACTATGATTATATTCACTAATAATATAGAAAATAGAGCTCCTGCACTTATTCCTTCCTTTTGCTTTAGAGCAAATAAAAGTAGTTGAGCACCGGGCCAGCTGCTGGGTGGGGCCTGTTCAGTCTGAAGTGTGGGCCCTGCAGGCCTCCCGCCTCCCAGAAGCAGTGGGGGGTAGGGGTGGGATGTGGCAGGAGGGACCACCAGGCACTGGGATGTCCAAGAGTGCCAGGACCCATTGCCATGGTGACAGCATGATCTGTACACTCACATATACACAAGCTGAAGTGTCTTCACTCGTGCCAGAAAGCACGCAAAATTAAACACCTCCCTTCCCTGTAGGGCAACTGAAGAAGCAAATTAGGACTACAGGTGAGCTTACTGAGGGACCCTTCCTATCCCCTGAAAGGCCTGAAGAGCTGGTAGAGCTCTCTGGGTTTGATGTCCAAGGGGAGGCCACTGACAAACAGTCTGCACCTCATGGCGGGGGCATCGCCTCCGGGCTCGAACGGGTGGCCTCCCAGGGCTCACCTTCTGGCTTCAGGCCGCTCAGGGCTCGGGGTGCTGGGTGCAGGCAGCGTGTCACGACATCACATCTTCCATATCTACAGGAGGACAAAGCATCCAAATGTGAGGATTAGGAAACAGATCTGTGCCAACGTCACGCGTGTGCGTTCCACCAGGTGGCACTATGAGTTACAAATGTGTAGGGCAAGGCTTGTAGGCCACCCAAGATCTTCAGAAAAGCATAATTTGCTCACATGTGAAAAGGAAACACATTTTCTAGTCATGGCCTTCCAAGTTTATTGATATGGATATTTTAGAAAATATATTTTCTTGTTCCAAAAATAATATAAATCTATTGTTCATGGCATACCAGGAGCTAATTCTTCAGAAAAACTGAAGTAATAAAGTGATCACATTCTTTTTTTTTGTGGTATGCACAATTGAACTCAGGACCTTTTTTGAGACAGGCATGGTACCGCAGAGTTAAATCCGAGGCCCAAGTTATCACATTCTTTAACAGCAGTTCCACTAATTTGTGGTATATCTATTATCTCCATTATTATACTAGGAAATAGTTTCGAAATTTCTTGTTTCCAATTCTATCAAAAGAAAACAGCCACTTTTTTGAATCCCTCATTATCAGGACTCAAAACGCTTAAGTATCTTTCAGTTGTGATACTTTAAACATTCTGAATGAATTCTTAGATAATGCTTTTCTTACTATGTTGGCAGATTTTAATATACCCAAGAAAGATATTTACTTTTTTTTTTTTCCTGTACTGGAGATCAAACTCAGGACCTTGTGCTTGTGAGGCAGGCACAGTGCCACTGAGCTACATCCCTGGTCCTTCCATCTCCTTTTTTAGTTACGAAGAAGAACCTTCTTGAACATGGTAATTTTGAGTAACACCTAAGACTCCATTTGTTGTGGCCTTTTATCCCCAGGTATCTCTAAAAGACCAGATAAGTCCTGCAGTATAACAAAAGATACAGTTTGTATTTGGTTTTTGCTTTGGATTTGATTCCTGGCACTGAGTTTCTAAAACCCTTGAAATTTCCTGAGTGTTAGAATGTGTTCTGTTGTTTATGATGAGCCCATTTTTACGTACTGAGTTCACCCTATTGAGGGATTCAAGGTGGGACCTTAGAGAGAGCTACAAGGGAGAAGGTGGGCATGCTCGGTGTTTTGGACTTTTCAAGCCCCCATGTCTACACTGTGCAGGGAGGACTGGAGATTGAATTAGAGCACCAGTGACCAATGATATGATGAATTTATCTATGGAATGAATTTTTTTTTCCTTTTTTGGTACTGGGGATGGGGGATCGAAGAACACTGGTCCTTGCTCTTGCAAGGCAGGCAGCAGAACCACTGAGCTAAATCCCTGGCCCTGGAATGAAACTTTGACGAACATTCTTGGATGACAAGGTTTCAAGGAGTTTACAGATTGGTAAACACACCAGTTTGCTAGGTGGCTAAAAAGAGAGACGGCCTGGAAGCTCTGAACCAACCCTCACATCCCCTACCAGAGGAGGGAGACAGACAGAGAGAGACGGAGAGAGGGAGAGAGAGAGGGGGAAGAGAGACGGAGGGAGAGAGACAGAGATGAGGACACACACACACACACACACACACACACACACAGAGGCAGAGATAGAACAAAAGGCAGGCAGGGGATGTACCTCAGTGGAAAGGCCCTGGGTTCAAAAGTCTGGATTGTCCTAATAATTGTTTAGAATTTTAGACATACCATTTGTGACCTTTTACTTTAACAAACAGGTGTCAGTGACGTCAATAAAAATAGTTGTTGACCCACCTGGCCAAGTACAGAGACGCACAAAGGGTTACTATTACCATCACTGAGCGGCTCAGGAAATCTTGTCACTAGCAGCTCTGGCGCATTTCCAAGGCATGGCAAAACATCGCTGGGCTATTTTATTTTCTAATTTCATTTTCATCTTGAAACAATCTTGAATTATGTTTCTTTACGAGGGACGTTGCACACTGGATTACTTTTCTTCTAAAAAGGGTGTAAAATCCAGCAGTCCCACGACGCTTGCGGGCTTTGGATCAACAACCTGAGCGAAGAAGGTGCCACCCACGCAGAAACCGCTCCCCCGCCCGGGAAGCTGTGACGTCCTGCCACTTTGATTCTTTGGGGGCATTCATTATTTTTCTTCTCCGTCTCCCCTGAATGTTTCTCCCGCCTGTGACCCTTTATAAGTTTCCAAAACCCTAAAAGAAACAGGGTTAGGGCCTGGGGACCCGGGTAAGCGAGCACCGTCTCCATTGGGGGGGAATGCGCCTCCGCGCCGAGGCCCCGCCCCTCACGCGACGTCCTGCCACTTTGATTCTTTGGGGGCATTCATTATTTTTCTTCTCCGTCTCCCCTGAATGTTTCTCCCGCCTGTGACCCTTTATAAGTTTCCAAAACCCTAAAAGAAACAGGGTTAGGGCCTGGGGACCCGGGTAAGCGAGCACCGTCTCCATTGGGGGGGAATGCGCCTCCGCGCCGAGGCCCCGCCCCTCACGCGCCCGGCGGTAGG